GAAAATATGACTGAAAATGAATCCCTGTTTTTTCTTTCATGACAGATTAAATAATTCAGATTATTGCTGTCAGTGTTTTTGCTCCAGAACCTCGTCCAGTCCTCCCAGTACTGGACCCGGTCCCAGCAGGTCCGGCCCAATGTCAGATCTCCAGAACCCAGATCTCCACTTCAGACTCTACGGGCTCAGCCAGCAGGTCAAAGGTCATGACAGGACTCCTCTGTGTGTCCAGATGAAATGGCGTATGCGGAGACCCGCACCGGCCCGTCCCGCTCCGTGTCCCGGCTCAGCTACTCGTCCTGCGGCAGCGGCAGCATCGGCCTGCGGGGTGGCAGCAGCTTCCTGCCCAGCCTGGACGACTCCGAGGCCGAGGACGACCTTTGCCCCCGGGTCCCGGCGTACCGGTCCCACCTGGACCCCGGCAGCCACACGTCTCAGGAGAGCCTGAGCTCAGCCGGCGCGACGCCGCAGGTCCAGTAATCATCCAGCAGATAGAGCCAATCGCTTTGATCACCAATAAATCCTGTTTGGTTTTACAGGCTTTTGTTCCACATCATTCTGAGTTTGGCAGCGTTTAGGCTCCTTATATAATCACGCGTCGGCCCGGAACGTTAAAATCTGTTTTATTCTTAACAGATTTCACAACCTCTGAATTCTCCACATTTGTCACGTTATTCCCATGAACCTCGATGATTTTATGTGACAAACCAAAAGAAGGTCAACCTGTGAAACTGAATGGAGGTCAGACATGTTTATGTTCATTTACTGCTAAAAGTTTAATCCACAAATCTGATAATAGCAGAGATAATGTGTCATTTAGCGGTTTAGCATTTTTCTAACTTAAAAAATGTTTAGCGCACTTAGCTTCCCCATAGTTCATTTCCAGGTCAATTCTAAAGCAGTAATTTACTCGGTTGTTCTGCAAACATTTAGTCAAATTAAGTTCAACATCATTGTTCCTGGTTTAGTTTTTGATTGTTCAGAATTTGTCAAATAATTAGATGTTTATATTCATGTATGGAGTTAGATTTGTTTCACAATTATTCAATCAAAAAAAATCATGTCAAAGCAAAAATAACTAAGTTTTTTTTTTTTACTTTTTTTTTGGTTGAGTCTCTTTTTTTTGGTTGAAACTTTTTTTTTGATTGAAACTTTTTTTTTTTTGTTTGAGTCTCTTTGACTTGAAGAAATATATTTAGCCAAACACACACGGCCCCTAGAAGCAACACTTCCTTCCCTACCTGACCTTCTCTGACTCAACACTTGCTGGTCTCTCCATCCTCATGCTCTGATCGTCTCTAGCAGCTGGAGGAATCAGTAAGACCTACAAGCCTGTCCTGCTTCAGCTGCACTCTGCTGGTCATACTAGAATGGGGAATTAGGAGAACACCAAATTAATTTAATATCATAACACAGCAAAACGCATATTACATCTAATTCGGAATAAAACTAAGTACAAGACACACCAAATAAAAAACACAGAAATTATG